ATCAAAGGAAGTGAAGTAGGATTTGTCATTGGACATGTGACGAGAGCAAGCACTATCAAGACACCACATGTCTTTATAAGCAGTATGAACAACAAAACAAGTTAAGTCACTCTTCCGCATCCACACTCTTCTAGTCTTAACTAGAGAGGGATCACCATGATTCTTGGAAGTAGTCTTAGCGTTGTGAACACCATTTTGGCAAATGGTATTCCACCTTGATATAGAGGGTTGTCTTCTAACCCAATAGGTATTAGAATTTCTTCTTTCTCTTTGAGACTCTCTACCAAACAACTCATAACAATAGGGACGAATGTGGCCATACCTACCACAACCATGACAAATAAAAACCGGTTTTACCTTCCTTTCATTGATCATACCAGCTTTAGGACGGTGGAGAGACTCATCATGCATCTTTTGCTTCCCCTTCCCTTGAGTCTTTTTGTGATGAGATGTAGAGGCATTCCATTTTTGTGCTTTGTCATCACAAAAGCCAATTCCATTCTTGTCAAAGCCCATTTATTGAACTCCAATGATATCTTTCAATGTCTTTGATCCTCTGTTCCAAATAGCAATTTTAGCCTTAGCGCATTTGAGTTCTTCCTCCTCCTTGATGACTAGCTCATCCAAAGCAACTCGAGACATCTCGAGAGTTTTAATATTTTCTTCATATGTCGCAAAGATTTTCAATAGCTCATTCCTCTCAGTCTCACAAGTTAAGAGTTTTGCACAAAGAGCTTGTTGATCATTAGAGATCTCTATGGCATCATTCCTAGTCTCGGAAATCTCTTCCTTTAGTTTGACATTCTCACTCTCACATGCTTTGAGTTTGGTAGTGAGTTTATCGTTCAACATAGATAAATTAAGAGACTCCTTCTACAACTTTTCATAGGCTTGTTGAAGCTCTTCACCATCTACCTCATCACCACTATTAGAGGATTCATCAACAATGACATTCTCAAGTGAAGGCACATCCTCCTTTTGTTTCTCGTCTTCCTTAAGAAATTCCAATCGTGCAACAAGAGCATTGAATTGAGAAGAACTAGATGCTTAAGAAGATGATTCCATTCTTTCATGGAATTGCATTGGAGTAGCCCATGCATCTTTAGCATTCTTGCAATGAGAGATGCATTGTCACTCTCCTTTAAAAAGTGCTTCTCGAATAGTATTCAAGACCCGCATGCTGCTCTCCATGTCTGCCCTTTCACTCGCACTTCACTCCACTCCTCAAAAGGCTTGACAACTTTCTAATGAGTTATTGAGTCAATCACAAATGGTGCTTCAAAATTTTCTTCAATAGTACGCCATCCTTCTGAATCTCATGCTCTGAGAAACACTCTCATCCTACACTTCCAATACTAGTAGTTACTCCCATCAAAGGTAAGAGCACGATGAAGACTATCACCTCAAACAAATTCAACTGGCTGAGAAATGCTAGAATAGAAAGCCATGAAGGTACCATCGCCATCTTCACTAGATTCAATTTCATCAGCTTCTTGCTCTGACTCGCTCATCATTCTAAGTCGTAGTGTAAACCTTCTTTCTGTTCTTCTTGGAGGGACACTTGAGAGCAGTATGACCAAACCCTTGGCATTCATAGCACTTGACTCCCTGACCTCTTACTATCTTCTTCTTAGGTTTTGGAATGATTTTGAGCTTATTATCACCTTTATCGTCCTTGAAATTAGGCTTCTTTTTCTTTTAATTCTTTTTTTTTTTTTTGGAATTGTTTGGTAAACAAAGTCATCATTTTGGACTCTAGATCATTCTTAACCTCCGGATTTTTAACAACCTCATAAGCACTAGAAAAAACTACAACTTTTTGTTTTTTCTTAGAAATCAAGTGTGCCTCATAAGTTTGCAAGTTTCAAACCAACTGGTCCAACTTGAGGTTCTCAACATCTTGAGCTTCCTCAATAGCTATCACTTTTGATTGGAACTGACCATGTAATAATCTCAGAATTTTTCCAATAACACGCGACTCAAGGATTTTTTCACTGAGAGTGAAACAAGAATTAACGATATCACTAAGTTTTGCATAAAAATCATTGAACGTCTCATCCTTACGCATAAAAAGGATTTCAAAGACGGAGGTGAGACGTTAAAGTGTTGATCTCTTAACCAAAGTGGTTCCCTCGTGAATTGTTTCAAGAATGTCCCAAGCCTCTTTTGCGACTTCACAAGTGTAAATACACCAGAACTCTTCTGAGGTGACGGAACAAAAGAGGGAGTTGAGTGCTTTACTATTCTAACTAGCATTTTGATAATCATTTGTATCTCATTTATCAGTTGGTTTGGGAATTATGACGTCGTCAATGGTCACAGACTCACAGTAGGTTCACTCCACCCATAGATGACAGAATGCCAAACTTTCTCATCGATGGATTTTAAAAACACCCTCATGCGTGCTTTTCAATATTAGTAGTTTGTTTCATCAAGCAACGAAGGCCTATGAGTAGACTTACCTTCGCAAATTGAATCCATTATCACAAATCACATAAAATCACACACTAGCTTTGAAAACACCTCAAAGAACGAGTGACCCACTCTGATACCAATTGAAAAACTCTATGTAATGTGATTGATGACTTATGAACTAATCAATTCAACGCAATTCCAAAATTAGATGATAATCTAAATCATCTAATCAATGCAAAAGTGATTTAGATTATGTCTAAGCCATTAATAAATCCGACACAAAGATTTAACGTAGATAAAAAACCACAATTGGACAACTCCAATTGTGATAAAAAATAAAATAAAAAAAAAACACGACCCAAGGAGGGTGAACAAATCCACTAAGAAGAGAATAAAAAGATTACAAGAGATCTCACCAAGCCCTACTACCCATGAATCCACACAAGCACTTGGAAACTCTAGCACATCTTCATCGCCCACTCTTCATCCAGGATTGTCCATGGTTGAGCTGGAATCAAGGTTCTGAAAAGCGGTTGCGGTCGCTGTAACGGTGGCGGTGGCGCGGTTGCGATTGCGGGGTGTAAAGGCCGTAACGTAACAGTTGCGGTAACAGAAACTGTGAATTTTTTCTAAGAAGAGAATAAAAAGATTACAAGAGATCTCACCAAGCCCTACTACCCATGAATCCACACAAGCACTTGGAGACTCTAGCACATCTTCATCGCCCACTCTTCATCCAGGATTGTCCATGGTTGAGCTGGAATCCACAAACTCCAACATAGTCCGGATTCCACTGGTTGAATGCTCTTGAAAGGTTGATACGATCCAAACCCCTTGATGTATGCAATTCAATCCATGTGAGGCGACACACTCACTAATTCATCAAAGGAAAAAAACCAATAAACTCTCTTTAGATGATAATCCAAGGTTTCTTAGGACTGTCATTTGAGATATGAAAGAGGTAACCCTAAATTTAGCAACTGAGGCAGCTTAAAACAAAACAGCGTCGCGAAGATCACTTGGGCGCAAGAAATACCGCTCGAGCGGTGTATCTAAGAGGCAGTGGAACAAACAAGTCACTTCATTCGAGCGGTAAATTGCACGCTTGCGAGGTAATGCATCCTCCCAATATCTCAGAGCTAAGCTTGAAATACTGGATGATTCATTTCAGAGCTTGAGCGCACAATTAACCACTTGAGCGGTCCAAGAAAATTGACAGGCTCAACAACACAACTCAAATGTTAGCCCCATTTGGGTTCATAAGGTCACAAAAAGAGCCAAAAAGTCAAAAGTTCAATCCCAATAGAAAAGGGTCACATTGTACACGTCAACCAATCACTTTTTTTCCTCACAATTATTATCTTTACAACTAAAAAAACCATTCCAAACACATTTAACTTTCCTCACCTCTTTAAAAGCCAAAAGGCCACTAAAAAAGGCCAAGTTCCCAAAAGGAGCCATAATATAAACATAGAAATATCATCTGTTGGGCTCGGAGAATCTATCTCTCAAATTTTAGACTAGGTCGGGTACTAGTGCACGCAAATTGGGACGATAAAGCGCTTAGATACATGTACCAAATAGGGTTCTAATTCAAGTAAAAGAACTTCATATGGACCTTTATTATAATTATTTATGATATTTTGGGTCTCTCTTACAGTAATTAAAAGTTTAAATTGGTCTGGTCCTTATAGTAGCTTCGTTGATTATTTTTCACCATTTCTAGCCATTAATGTATGCATTGCATACAATCTTGGTTTATAAGCTATTGATTTGAAAGGGGAATATGGAGGGAAAGTGAAATTGATTCATATAAGTTGGAGTCATTGTGATCTAAGAAGTGTGCTTCCTGTTATGGAACTTTAAGAGAAAAGACTCACATTGATAAGTAAAGTTGTCTTAGTCTTACCAGAGTTTTGTAAGGATACCTATACTGCGATTTTAGCCTGGGATTGATGTAGCCTAGTGAAAGTCATGGATGAAGTACATAAAGTGATTGGTAATCTTCTATTATGTAGGGCCAATATGAAAGCCTTAATCTCTCAATTTCGAGCATTTTAATATGTGTTTGGCTAATTAGAGATTAACACCTCATATGACCTATAGTTGGAAAACTCTTAAATAGTCATTTGGATTTATAAGCTTTGTAAATGGTCTGTACAGCCCAAACTGGCTTCTTACAGACGGGCGGACTTAATGAAGGGGGATTGAAAACTTAAGACACTATACAGAATGCTCAAACCTTGGGTTATCTTTTGATTGTATGGTCCATTGCTTGTACTTGCACTTGGAAATTTGAACACTAAGATCACTTCTGTCAAGAATTTAAATAGTCCTTTTATTTAATTAATTATATCTTGCTTGACCATGTGACCTACACCAATGAAATTGAAGAAATCTTCTAACCTTTGTTTCTATATAACTTTTACTCATTAAACATGTCAGTTTTGCAGTCTTGTTAATTAGAGTTGTAGCTTGTACTAAACCTAGCCAGCATTTTTCACCATATTAAAGTTGTAGCTAGCTTGAATGGCTGTTCATAATTTGTGTTGCTCCTCTATGGCATTTTTTGTATTTGCTATCAGCTTTGGTATCAACTTTCAAAGACTCTAGCAGAGGATGCTGCCTGGAAGTTTGCAAAAGAGAAAGGTATTGACATGGTTGTAATAAACCCATCAATGGTTGTTGGTCCTCTGTTACAACCAACGCTTAATTCAAGTGCTGCTGGTATCTTGGAATTAATAAATGGTAAGTATTTTAAAAATGTTTGAAATGTTTCTGAAGTTCTTTGAAATGTTTTTCCCATTCACTTTGCTTTTTTGTTGTGCAGGTTCACAAACATACCCAAATGCTTCCTATGGGTGGATTAATGTTAAAGATGTTGCAAATGCACACATTCAAGCATATGAAATTCCTTCAGCCAGTGGAAGATATTGCTTGGTTGAGAGAATGGCACACTTCTCTGAAGTTGTGAAAATCCTACACGAGCTTTATCCTTCTTTTCAACTTCCAGAAAAGTAAGTGTTTGTGATTTGTTGTTGACTTTAATTATACCTTTATAAAGTAGTAATTGCCTTTGGAATTGAAGCTCTATTTCACAAAAAAGAAAAAAAGAAAAAAGAAAAGAAAAGAAAAGAAAAGCACTTCTAAATCTTCTTTTGTAAATGTTATCGACGTTCTTTATATTTTTACCAATTAAATTCAGACTATCTATCTCAGCTTCATTAAGTGTCATAAAATATGGGCATATCAGGATATGCTCAGTCAACATATCTATTCCTTTGTCTTTTGCCTGCTTTTTATGTTGGCATCTTGCTGGGTTGCAATTGTTTTTATACTAGTAGAAGCAGTTCCATCTACATCTACTAAGTCTTTAATGTGTTTTCACATGATTCTCTTTTCCTTTTTGGCAATGATGTGATTTACATTTCATGGGACAAATATAATATAGTAGATGTGGTGAATCTTTAATGAGAAAACAGTCCTCGAGAGCAAAGTCGTTGTGCGTTTCTATCATTTTAAGTGAGGCGATAAGTCGAAGATGCTTTGGTGCCCTCAACGATTTTTAAGACATGACAAGCAGCAACAAGACTTTATTAATATTAGCCATTATTCTTTCTCTGATTATAACTACTACATTCGAACAAGTGCTTAATTCTTTCTGCTTTCAGAAGACTTGTCCTTTTCATTTGTTGAAACAAGTTTACTGATTAATGGTAAACTTAAGGTTCTTAGTAAACTCATTTATTCAGGTCTAATGGTTTTGGTTTAGCAAGACCAGCCAAAAATTTGTAGAGTTTTCTGTAACCTCATTTAAATTAGGAATTTAAAAATGTGGCATGCAGTGCTTTTTAGGTGGTAATTGTTCCATCCTCCAGTCGTAAGGTTATTGTCATTCTTAACTATTTGTTTTTTTTTATTATTATTGTTATTAAATTTTATTTATTATTGTCATATTGCATTGATGTCTTTCTATAATATTTGCTGATATTCCTTCAAAATGTCATTTTTCTCATTCATTTTTACTTCCAATTGATGAATGTGTCTCTAAAGATCAGTTTCAGAACTTTTAAATGTTCCAAGTGGCACATGAAACTTCAATTTGGCCAATTTCTCTGTTAGAATTGGCTTTTGTTATGAATTATATTTTTATTTGGTTATATCATTGTTTTCTACCCTTTTTTGATATGCTTTATAGGGTTGCGGGTGGCAAACCATATATACCAGCAAAACAAGTATCCAAGGAAAAAGCAAAAACGTTGGGCATCGACTTCATTTCTCTGGAGGAGGGCCTCAAGGAAATCGTTGAAAGCTTGACACAGAAGAAATTTGTTGGGATGTGATCCATTGTACCTATATGGAGGATTTTGGAAAAACATGTGATGGTTAGCCATAGAGTGTTGACATATTGGCTTTTATGATTTTATGTCTGTCATGTCTTGTCATGGTAACTTTGTGAATGATTTTTAAAAAAATGATGGCGAGCAATACTTTGTTGTGGTTGGCTGGTATGGCTTTTAGAACTCGTTGTCTTGTATTAAATTATGTTATCAATCCTAAAACTCTAAGTTGAACTTGCTTTAATTAATACTTCATAAGGTTAGCATTACCTTATGCAATATGTATTTAGACTATATTTGGATCTTGAATTTGTGAAGTTATTTATTTATTTTTTTTATTTTTTATTTTCCAGCTCAAATCGGCTTGTCATAAAGTCTTAAGGTAGTTCACAATTTCTAACTAAAATATCTTTTTGATGCTATTTTATTTAGAAATTAGATAATGAATAAAATAAATAAATAAATAAATAAGGGGTGAAGTGATAAATAAAAAAAAAGAAAAGAAAGAGCTTTGTTTGATCGGAATCATTCAACAAAGCGGTACGAACACGATATCAAGGCAAACCCATGGAAATACCTCTTTGTCAAAGAAAAATAAACACTACGAACTTTATTACATTGAAAAATGCATTTATATCTATTCTGAAATATTCATATAGCATATAGTAAGGCTTAAATTAACTGAGTATTCAACTTTTTAAAAGTCTTCGAACAAAGAGAAAAATAGGATCTGTTAGACTCAGATCGGGAAATGATCAAATTACTAGCCTTATGTTCGGAGGAGTTAAAAATACTATGATGGTTCCGTTGATTTGTATATTTATTATTTATTTTTAGCATACCATATCTTAATGGATTGACATAATTTTTCTACTACGTGTACATCCCCATAATGGTGGTGATTTTCCAAAATCAAACATTACATATTAATGCTTATCAAGAATAGACTAAATTTGCTTCTCTTTGTTCTACAAACATAATTGTTCCATTATTATTATTATTATTATTATTATTATCAACAAAATATAACAAATATTATCCCTTGCTCCAAGATAATACCCATTTATGTATCATAGACTAGCAAGGAGAGGGTTGACTTCGTTGAAGTCCACCTCCTTTTTTAAGGTGATTGAAAAAATCCAGTGTATTGTATGTGCCCATTGTCATTTAGCTAATAAGCTCGTGGATATGGAGGTTCCACAAGCGGTACTTATTCGTGTTGTGTTTGAAGCATTTGTTTGAATTCCTTATGATATGCTATTTAAACAAGTTCTTGCAAAAGAGGGCTTTGAATATGGGAGTTCTTATTTTACTTGACGGTTTTGAATTAGCCCCTCCTGATTGTATTTCTCCCGAAGCTATGGGTTCGAATCTAAGAAAAATTCTAGAGAATGTTTGCTATCTTCATTTTTTTTTTTGTTGTTGTTGTTGTCGTCGTCGTCTTTTCTAAATGATAAGAAATATAATCAACTTGAATTCCTGTAGCACTCCGTACTTCTTAGTATAATGAAATTATATTTGACTCTTTAATTATCATAATCGAGAACCTTTTTAGTCGATATTTGAGTCATGGTTGAGGCGTTACCTTAATGGTTGGGCGAGACTAGATCAAAAACTCAAAATTTGAATAATTGTTCTTGAGTAGTCTTCACTCTTTTATCATTTTCTCTCTCCACACTTTGAATTTTGTTATGAGGCTAGAACCATTGGAAATTTCTAGGGCTTCAATTTGAACACAAGAACGACCCCAAATGGAGTTCAGACGAGAGACTTATGTCCGTTTGAAATTTACGAATCTGTGATGTGTGCATAGTTCGCTTGAATGTAAGTTTCACTGCTTGAGCAGTCCATAGACCCTTCCAGCTCTATTTTTTAAAATTGTTTGAGATATTGCAAGCCTTGATTCACTGCTCAAGAGCACTTTTGACTGCTCGAGCGGTCTGTTCGAGACAGTATAGATACTGAGAGATTTCACTCACCGCTTGAGTGAAAATTTGACCGCTCAAGCGGTCTATTTAGGATCAGATTTTTAAAAGTCACTTTTGGGTAAAATCTCTTCACTTTTCACCATCTCTTCTATCTCTTTCCCCCATTTTCGAGTTTCAAGATCTTACACCTTGGATTTCATCTCTTTATAGTGAGAATCTCATCCTAGTCCCTTATAGCAAAATGTAGAGCATAGTGAGAGCCTCCTTTTAATCTGAGTGGATTGTGTTTTCATCGAAGTTGGATTTTCGGGCTTTCTTCTCTTCTTGCTTGAGGTAGGGATTTCTTTACTCCTTTTCAATACCTTGTTATAGATAGATATGTGGTAGTTTTTATTGCACTAAAAGCATATTTTGTTATAGGATTTTGGAAAGGCATGAAAGGGGTTTAGGGTTTTGAATTTTTAGAGTTAAGTAATCATGTTTTGGGTTGATTTAGGGGAGGCAATTAATCACGTTTACGTTAATAGTGGTGAAAAATCTTAATTTGTAATTAAGAGTTTGATAAAAATAAAGGAGTTAAAGTTGAGTAATTGTTTGGCTATATGTTTACATTAATGAATTAGAGCTTTGGTTGCTAAAAAGAAGTTAATTGGGTTTTGTGATTGTTTAGTTAATGTTATGTTGTATTGGGTTGTGGTTGTGTATCAACAAATTGGGATTTTGGCAATTATGAAGGGGTTTCGGCTAATGGTTGTGAGTGTTGGAGATTTGGGAGAATGGGCTTGGTTTTGAATACAATATGATGTTTGTAATTCTTTTGTGTAATGAAATGGAAAATGGAAAATGGAAAATGGAAAGTGGAAAGTGAGTAGGGAACAAGGTTGTTTTGAAATGATTTCATTAAAAACATTAATGATTTGAAATGGTGGAATCCGTTGTGGATTTGAGTTACGAAAGTCGTCTATTTAATTGTTAGAGGTTTTGTCCTTGGTCATCGATGGATGATGACATTGTTGTTGTTGATGAATAGAATATATGTATGTGTCATATTTGTAGATTATTTATGTAATCTAGAATGTTGTGATATGGATTGGGGGTCCGTTTCCTGCCCGGTGAGGCTGGTAAAGTGTAGCGCCTTTATAGATAGTTCATTTCCCTTTCGGTTTGCGCCCAGTAAAGTGTGAATTGGGGTCTGTTACCCTCCAGTGGGACTGGTAAAGCGTTGTTCCTTGAGATGGGTTCCTCTCCCTTCTTTGCACTTGGTTAAGTGTAATCTGCAAGTTATTCCCGTCCGAGTGAGGCCAGTAAAGAGTGTTATGTTTTGTGGGTTGTTTCATTAGCATCCGTGCTTTAGGCCAACAAAAATGGAAGTATGTGTTGTTTCCGTTATTCACATTTAAATATATTCGTGTATGTATATTGTTGTGGGTGTTCCTTTTCCCTTGTGCTTATAGCTAGGGAAGATGGTGGATGTGTTTGTGGATATGTGTTTGTAGTGAGTTGTGATGTAAAACTAGATTATGACTAGAATGTTTGAATGTGTTTTCAAAGTAGATGTTGATATGAAATTCTTTTAATTAAAGTAGAAGGTTAAAGAGTGGAAGAAGTGGAAGTGGTTTTACACCTTGTTGCGTTGAAGAGGATGATTTTGGGAAAATGTACTTATATAAATATATTTTAGATATAAAACTATCACATTACTTATATAGTATGATGTGGTGCATTCACGATCATAAGTATCTGTATGTTGTTATTGTTTTGGATCATTTTGAGATCTCTATAGGACTTTATGATCATCCCACGTTGCTAATCATTTTTCAGGTACACATTGAGAAGTGGTTCAAGGTCGAGGGGTCTTTTATTTGTTGCCCAAGGGGTGTTTTATTTGTTGGCGGGACGCCATTGTCGTAAAAGGGTTAAACTCTTTCTTTTTATGTAATAATGTAAGCCTATAGACATTTATTTAATTGTAAAATATTTTGCATTCAATGTATATACAAATGAGAGAATTTCCATTTATTTATGAATGTGAATGTATATAGCTTTTGTATAATGATGGATGTGGTAATATTATTCGAGTAATAAAAAGTGGGGCGTGACAACTTAGTGTCATAGCGAGCTGGATTTGAATACTTTGGGCTTGGGGATGTGGTTTTTACCATAATAGATTTATTATGCTTGGTGAGGCTGTTCGCATATAGTTAGTAAGTGTTAGGATTTATGTGTTGCATTTATGTGAGCATAGAGTTAAGTTTCATGGATAGTGCTTGTAACTGGTGAACTTGCTTTGAGGTTTTGTTGGAAGCATGCTTGATCAACATGGTTTTTGATAAGAATTCCTTGAGAGTTCCGGGACAAGTAGTTATCATTGTGGACTTGATTCAATTATGTGATTAAGTGTTTACACTGTTTATGTGCAATAAGATTGTGTAGTTCTGTGCTAAGTGTGTCTTGTAGCTTTGTGGTGGTGAGTCTGTGCCTCGGGAAAGGTTGTTGTGTTGTGAACTAAGTTTGTTTTTTGGTTTTTGGTTCTATAGGATGTTTGCATGAGGGAGTAGAGGACGTATTGGGAATAAACATGTCGATAGGGGCATAACAGTTCCGTTAGCACATGCACTTGCAACATCGGCTGTGGGTAAGGAAGTTGCACGAGATATTGTAAAAGCGGTGAGAGATGCTCTAGCTCACAGTGAGAGGGGCGGCAGACGTACCCTTAAGCTTATTAAGGAGTTTCTTCGCACCAATCCACCTGAGTTTTTGGGAGACCTTAAACCGTTGCAGGTAGAAGACTGGTTAGAACAAATTACCAAGACTCTTGATATGCTCAGAGTCGAGGACAAGGAGTTGAAGATTGCTTTGGCAGGTTTCCAACTGAAGGGAGACGCTGGTTAATGGTAGAAACATGCGAGGATTTCTGTGGGCACCACTTGGGCTACATTCACTGAGGCCTTTTTGGCTAAGTATTTTCCTTTTTCTACTCGAGAAAGATTGAGGAAACAGTTTGTTAAGTTGCGCCAGCATGTTACTCATTTGGCACAGTTTGAGGTGAGGTTTACCAATTTGTCAACGTTCGCTCCAAAGTTGGCTGCAACAAAGAAGCGTCATTGTTTTGAGTTGGAGTGGAGGTCATGTGATGATATCTGGGGAAAGGTTGTTGGGGCTATGTATAGAGATTATCACACACTTGTAGAGGCAGTGGCTCATGTGGAAGCCATTATTCTTGATGTTGGTCATAATGGAGAAAAAGAGGCCATATCAGCAATTCCAACTGTTCGGGAACGTGTTAGGTTGAGTAAGACTTAGAGATGAGCGAGATCTCAAGTATAGGCGCAGTTGTCACCACAGTCTACTTTTGTTTCTTCCGAC